TATAGCAGTTTGATTAAGGACAGTTATTTTACATTATGTTTTGCTTTTTTGCTTATCAAAAAGATTTCATGGTGATAGAATGTATTTCAGATGAAGTACCGTGTCTACTTTTTTTGTTGCCTTCCTAGAAGCCATTGACAACTACAAATCTGTATACAGCATCCCTGGTCATTTCTGTTAATCTTATATTGACTTAAATTCAGCAGAATTCATGAGGATAATTTTCATCCATTTTTTTCATGTCTGCTTATTGCCCTTAACTTGAAGGACAGTTTGACTAATATCCTTGACTCGTATTTTATTACTTTAACTTTTGTCTTCACTACTTCACCCTGTTGGCTTCTGTTATAATGAATTTCTGTTGTTGTTGCCACATCTGATCACCATTTGATTTTCTTACCACTTGTAATGAATCAATATTTTTTGCTTGCTAAGTAAAGCTACTTTAATTTTTAAGGTCTACTAGACATACTATAATTTACTTGTAATTTATTATAATTAATATTGTCAATCACTGTGGGTCAGTTTTCCTAGGCAATTATTGTGTGTGCCCTTGCAATATTTTTAATCTTGATTATGTTTTCTTAAATCATAGTTTTCATATCTTTTTTCAGCCATCATTTATTTTCTTCTCCAAGGTCTCCCTTTATATGCATGGTTGAACTTTCTTTGCCTTTATTCTGCATTCATTTATTTCAAAATAGCTTTAGCACTAAGTGCACACAATGAAATGCACATCTTCAGTGTCATGGTTTGATTAGCTTTGGCGAATACAGATTTTCTGTAAGCTCTTTTCACTCAGTGCATAGAGCATTGCATCACCCCCTCTGCCCTTCCCAGCCTACATCACGTGTTGTTCTGATTTCTCTCATAATACAACTTTTTTGTTCATGCTAGAGTTTTATATAAATTTAAGCCTTTTTTTTTTTACTTAAAACATTTTTTTCTCTAGGTCCCATGTTTCTTTCTTTTAAGATATGATTCACTGTGTTTATTCACCCATGTCTGGGTTAGCCTTGATTTCTGAAATTACTTCCTTTTATTTCTAATTGTCTTGAATTCTATTCTCATAACTTTCTATTTGCAAATTGCATTGCTTCTGATTTGTTTTCCCCAATTTATGCTGTTCTGTCTGTCACAATTGCTATCATCTCTATTCCTCTCATTCATTTTGAAATATTCGATTTCAGTTGTGTATATTGGCATGAATTTCTAGTATGCTTATTGTCTAACATCACAGTGTTTTATTTTTTTTAACTTTGTTATTGGTTGAAGCTGTAATATTAGGAACTAAACTTGCCGTACTAGTAAACACTTAACTTAGTGCCTTGAAATAATAAACAATTGCTCTATACATATATTTCGAGCTGAAATCTAAACTATTTTTTAAATGTGAGATTTTTCTCCACCTGTGAAAAAACTACATCTAACTCTATAAAACACCAAGACCTGTGTGCAAAGATGTACCAAGCATATAACTAAAAGGGATCTGAAAACTACTCTTGCTCAATGCTTTATTAATAATTCCACTTTCATATGTAAATTGCCCAAGGTCAAGCAGACATGTGGTAGCCCACTTAGACATGTGAGGCTAAGTTCCTTATTTCCTGACTCAGCCTTGTGCACTTTATATCATGATAGTTTCAAAGTAAGGAAAACATGTTTCATTACAACATAAAATGTACATAGATCTTACATATCTACTTTTGCTTTTTCAGTCCCTATCAATTCTCTTACCTATTTGATACTCATCCAAACTTGTGGGAAGGTGTGTCTGTGACTGAACCACCTGGAGGGTTCTTCAAGTGATGGTGTAGAAAGTCAGAACTAAGGGAGGAGTAGCTGAGGATCTCAGATGGGGCGTGGAGATCCTTCTTCATTCTCCCTCTCTTTACCCAATGACAGTGTCACTAAAACCACTGGGATAGTGCAACTGACTAGTGATGAGCTTCAGTCAGCGTTCTCTGAAGACATGTAAAAACAGATTTCAAGGTTTCATTCAGAGGATGCACTGGGAGCCCAGTTGTTGGTGCAGCCCAGGGAGAGTTTCTTCAATAGGAGACAGCACCCTAAACCTAGGAGAGTCTGTTTAAGAGGAAATAAAGGACCAAATGAGGTTTTTTTTTTCTTTGTGCCACTGGTTCTGAAAATCATAGACTGAGAAAAAATATATACAAGCTAAACATATGTCATATAATATAATCAATTATATTAATAAGTATATCTCTGCTATAAAGAACATTGAAAAAACAGTACAGTCACTGTGTATGGCTCCAGAAACCACTAGTACGGAAATGGACATGTTATCCCGGTCAGTGGCAAAGTGTAAGCATTGTCTTTCTCTTTCCTATCTTTGAGCTGATCATCTCAGGCTTGGAGAAAGAATGTTGTCACGTAAAAGTCAGACCAGGCAGAAGTAAACACTAAGGAAATGTGCCACTAGGAATTATGAAGTTAAAGATAATACACGACAAGCCAGCCTGTGTTGAAAGAAATATTTTTTTAGTTTATTTATATTTTACATCTTACAGTGACAAAATGATATTCCATTCATTTCAACCCTGTACATCTAGATATGACTATAATTTATGATACTCGAATTTGGAAAAATTTACTTCATTAAAAAAATTTAGAATGTAAATTAATTGATGTATATACTTCTAAAAAGTATTTGGATATGTGTGTGTGTATATATTTAAAAAGATAGTGAACCATTAAAAAACTTAGCCACAGTCCTCCCTGGTGGCACAGCAGGTTAAAGCACAGCACTAAGAAGCTTAAGCTGCCTCTGAGTGAATTCGATCCCCGCCTGTCGGAGAAGAGATCCACATGGCGTGGCAGACCTCTCCTGACCTGCCCGCTGCTCCTCTCAGCACTGTACGTCATCAATCTGCCTGTTCTGCTCCCCATTCTGTCTCTGGTGAATCCTCTCACCCTCCGCATCTCTGTCCTGTACCCCAGTTCTGTATGAATAAATAAATAAATCTTAAAAAAAAAAAAGCCACTTTGCACAAAAAGCCAATACTTGCACTTCTGTGATAAAGGATGGAAGAATGTCCCTCAGGCTTTGACATAAAGAATAATAACTTGTAATGATGTTTAAATGTGGATCTTAGATTAAGTAATCCAGGTGGTGCTAAAGCTTCTGCATTTCAACCAGCTTCAGGTGGTGCTGATCTATGGGGTACTTTGAGGCACCTAAACAGAGGCTCCACAATAGGGATTATTCTAATCACTAACACTTGGAGTGTTACTTCAACAGACATTCATTGAGTACCTGCAACATGCTGGGTGCTAGGAAGAGGGAAGATTACACTGGTTCTGCAATCAGCAGCTTCTGGGGCAGGGACTAAGGGAGGGTAGCAAACACAGTATCCATCAGGTTGGCAGAGAAGAATGAACCAGGTGTGGCAAGAAAAACTACAGTACAGGTGAGGAGTATACACCAGAAATTGAGACAGTTCTCTGTCTGGGCAACAGCAGGTGATGCCATGACAGATTTGAAGCAGCACTGCCAAGTATCTTATGTAAGCTACTTACTATGAGTCTGGGTAGAAGGACCTAAATCTGAAATCATTTTGAACTTCAAGTTTACTCTAGTCTCAAAATCCATACATCACAGACCAGGTGAGAGCCTCAAGTTTGAGAGCAACCAGCAACTTCTCTGTGGAAGGAGGAAGAGAGAGAAGTTTGGTGTTTAGATCAGAAACCCCCATTTAGCACATTGCGCTAAGTTGGAAAGTGACACAGCAAAGGTAACAGTGCTCACGTGTATGTCATGTGCCTTGCAGGTTGCAGCCTCAAAAGATCTTTTCAAGTAATTTAATGCACAGTTTTTATTTTCAGATTATAAATGTGCCTCCGGAGCTAAATGCATCTTAGTGCCATGGACACAGAGGTGGCAGTGAGAGTTTGGGCCTCTCAAATTAGACACAGCATCAGTTAATAACACTCACTGTCACTCTGTACCAACTGTAGTCTGCTTGACTAGTCATTTGTCAGATCTATTAAAATAGTCTCTCAAATTTTCCATTTAGTCATAAAGTTGTCCTGTCTTCTTCTCCAGCTTTGATTAGTAGCTAACACCAAATAAAACAGTTACAAGAAAAGTCTTAAATTTCATAAAAAGCCTAAGTACTCCAAGTCCCTGAGGTGGAATGTTTTCCTACATAATAGTTATTAACTTTCAAATGGGAAAAGACTGAATCAATTCATTTCTTATCTCCAAAAATCTCAGGTTTGTGTAATTTCTTTTCTTTCTTAACATTTGCTACCCTAGAAAGAAACACAATCTAGGGAGAAATGATTATAAGGACTTTTAATCACATCCAAACTATGAAGATATCTCCTGAAGGTGAGCACAATTGAGGCAGGGAAGTTTCCAGATCAATACTCTGACTACATTGGGGGGTAGGTATGAGTGTTACACTTGTTCCGTTAGATTAATGACGATGTACATGTGAGTTTTTCCTCAACTGGGGAATTTTGCCCACACACAGTATTAATGATGTGAGTCTTCTTGTCATTTACCTTCTAAATCTGTGTGCAAAGTTATTTCAAATCCTTTCTCCTTGGGTGTATATTTCTGCTCAAATGGATTGCCATGGACTTGGGTGCGATCCCCATTACAGATCTATGGTATCATTTCCCCTGTAGACTGTTCCATGCTAACATGATTGGGTTCAGCATGAGTTTTAGGATATCTTTCCGCAGTCAGGGGTTTCTCTAGAACTGCAAATATTCCAATTTCTGCAGAGCCTCCTTCATTTGGAGGCAGAGGCTTTACAGAGGTGCAGATAATCAATTTCTGGTTTACTCTGGCTGGCTGCCCTGATGGAGCTTTTTTAAATTAGCAGGATAGGTAGGAAAGTGGTATCATCTGACTCTCCCAGCTACTATGCATATCGACTGGCCAGTGTACTCTGAAATGAGAGTCTGGGGGATTAACTCTCTTTCAGGTGTGATTTTTCTTGTCTCACTTCTGCTTCCTCCTCCTGTAGGAGAAATGGGTCCCATGAGGCAAGCGTGACCTTCAAGCCCAGTCCACCTGCCTGACCTCAGTCGGGAAGGAAAACACCATGGATGGCATCATTGAACAGAAGAGTGTGTTGGCACACAGTAAAATCAGCGATGCTGGCAAGAGGAATGGCTTAATTAACACCAGAAACTTCATGGCTGAGAGCAGAGATGGCCTGGTGTCTGTGTACCCTGCACCACAGTACCAGAGCCGCCGAGTGGTGGCTGGTGCAGCTCCTGCAACCCTGGACAGCAGCAGGAATGAGCCAGCCCAGCAGCTGCTGGACCCCAACACCCTCCAGCAGTCAGTGGAGTCCCACTTCCGCCCCAACATCATCCTCTACTCAGAGGGGGTTCTGCGCTCCTGGGGGGATGGCGTGGCCGCTGACTGCTGTGAGACCACCTTCATCGAGGACCGGTCACCCACCAAAGAGAGCCTGGAATACCCTGATGGGAAGTTCATTGACCTCTCAGCTGATGATATCAAAATCCACACCCTCTCCTATGATGTGGAGGAAGAGGAGGAGTTCCAGGAACTGGAGGTGAGAGGAGGTGTTTGTCATAGTTCTGTGGGGATAGCAGTGGGCGTGTGGTGGGGACTCCTGAGTGCCTGGTAAGAGTTAGGGAATGGTGGACTTCTGCAGAAATTCAGAGAAATGAGAGCTTTCCTGGTACCTCTTAATTTTGGACGTTTGGGGAGAACAGAAGGAATGAAGAAAGGCTCAGTGACCGGGACTCAGTGTGGGCTCTGGCAACGGTTCCAGCCACAAGTTACCCAAGTGATGACCATCAGGATAGGGCTACAGAGAAACTGAAGATGTGCCAGGTGAAGTACAAAGGGATGCATGTTCCTAGGGAAGATGAGGCTGAACATGCTTATGGGGAGACAATTTGGCAAATGTTTTGTTTGTGGGGTCCTTCCTTCACTTGGCACTTCAAAGCTTTATACTAAGAAGTTACCGGTATGAATAAAACCTGATGGGAGAAATAGCAGAAACTGATAGTCTACAGGGAATACGGGGTGATTTATCACAAGAGCTATTACAGGGCTACCCAATATGAACCAGGCTGCTTATGTGTGCAGGCACTTGAGATTCAGTTGTACTGCAGGTACACATAAAAAGGGTCAATAATGGGTTTGTTTGCAAAAGGTTTGAAAGTAAAAGGAACAACCCAGGGAAAGAGAGAGAAACAAGTTAAGTAGAACATCCTACCAACTCCGCAGACTTGGAACTCCAATAACACACTGAAAGCTCATCAAGAGTAAAATGACCAGTCACCAGCCACACGGTCCAGAGAGAGAGCATCTAACATGGCTCCCTTATATTCCTCAAAAGTCCCAGAATGCCTGCTTAGCTCTGCCCTAAGGTCCTCGCATTTGTCTCCATGGTATTGCTGGGAATTGTAGTTTCAGTGACTGAAGTAGAGGGTGGAGTTCAGAAAACTGGAGTAGGGGGTGGAGTCCACAAAACTCTGCAGAGTTCCTTCAGGACATCCGTTCCCCCTCACAGAGCCACCTCGGTCAATTGGAGGGCAGCGAGGGCATTTGAACTTCATGCTCTGAGACTGCACGTTACACCTGGTAACTCGGCCCGGCAACTGCTGTGTGTGCAGCCCACCCCATTTATTTCCATGCAGCCCTGGAGGGAACAAGAGTAATGTTGTTAGGTTGTCAACCAAAGCACCCTCCTTGGAAGAAGTAGTTCTACCAGAGAGTGAATGGTAGGGGGAGAAGGGCCAGCCATTTATTAAGCTTTGGGGAAGAATTTTCAGGAGCAAGTGTTTGATCAAATACAAAGGAATTTGTTTTGGGCTAAAGCAGATAAAAACATTTGTTGGTGGATGGGAATGCCAGCACAGAGCATGCAGGGTCAGGGGGGAGCTGTCCTGCGTGCCTCCTAGCTGCACAGAGTGGCGGGCCTTCCAGGGGAAGGTGGCACAGTGCTGTGCGAGAGAGAGAAAGAAAGGCAGGCTAGGGAGAAGGTCAGTAAATCAAGCGCTCTGGGTTGAATGAGGGCCCATGGCAGCTAAGAGTCATGGAGCCCATGGAAGTTGGGGTTCGAGGAAATTGGAGAGAATTTAGCAAGGGATGGGAGGAAGTGACCATTCTAGAAGAGACCTTTGAAGAAAATGGCAAGTCGCAGTGGGTTCACCTTGAGCTTAACTCAAAAGAGTGTTATTCTTCTTTCTTTAAGCTTTTCATGAGCTTCTGATAGAGTTTGCACATAAACACAACCTGTGATTACATGAATGTGTGTTTGTTTTTTTTTTTAAAGATTTATTTGTTTGTGCATACAGAACTAGGGTACAGGCCAGAGGCTCAGGGGCGGCGAGAGGCTTCACCAGAGACAGAGTGGGGAGCAGAACAGGCAGATCGACGAAGTACACTGTTGAGGGGAGCAGCGGGCGGGTCAGGAGAGGTCTGCCGCGCCATGTGGTCACCTCCGGGGCAGACGGGAATCGAACTCATGAGGAAGTGGCTTTAGCTTCTCAGTGCTATGCTTTAACCCGCTGTACCACCAGGGAGGGCCACATGAATGTGTTTTTATAACATGTCTGAATCCTCATTCTTGGTAAACAATTATCAAATCTATTTTATTGCAACAATTTTCACTGACTTCAACCAGTGACTGTGGTTTGGGAACTATGCAGAAGTCTGAAACCTCTCAGAGACAGTCTCTCAAGAGAAATGCCAAGAAATGGGTGGCTAGGTGACAGGTTTTTTTTTTACCCAGTTGGTCATGCAGGCCCTGGGGGGAGCTGTGCCCCCAGCTGTATTCTCTTGTCTTGCCATCAGCAGTGGTAGCACTACAGAAAGAATTCTTTGAATGAAGACGCAACTGGATCTTTAGTCCTAATAGTAGTGCTGACTGTGTTCATATTTTTATAAGAGGCAACACGTTGGTATTGGATTTCAGCCAGAAAGGCTACACCCAGTGATATTAATGGGAGAGCAAATAGTATAAAGATTAGGCTGCTTCTTAGGCTTTTGATGGAACTTTGTGGTCAATATCAAAGAATAAACCCAGACCGAGAAATGGCTCCTCTCACAGGAAGGGGTGGAAGTCAAGTAAATTGAAGCATAGCTATGACAGCTATTGTCTTTCGGTGTGCTGCTTGGAGCACCCATGGAGGACTCCAGGGGGCCTTTCTGCATTAAGAAATCCATAACAGCAAACATAGTCTCTCAGCAACATTCTTCCAGTAGAGCAATGGCACTTTCTTTTCCGCAAATGAAGATAGTGACAGTTGGTGAGTGGCATCTTGCCTACAGTGGCTGTTCTGAGGTTTATTAATATTTCTCATGAAATAATAAAGAAGTTATTTGCATCAGCATTTGCTACATAACAAATCACCCCAAATTTAGTGACTGAAAGCAACAGTTGTTTTTTTCACCTCATGATTTTTGTTGCCAGGCTGATTTCCCTGGGGTCCCCCATCTCTCTGTGGGGATGTGGCTGGCCAGTGACTTGGGCAATAGAGGAGACTATACCACAGCAGCTTCATCACCTGGCAAGTGTGACAGGAACCCCAAGAGCAGCTGTAGAGAGGCGAGCCAAGGTGTTGGGCTCTTCGAGCCTTGCTATGTCATGCATGTTGTTTTACTGACTAAACCCAAAGTTAGCATGGGAGGGAATATTTAGGATGATAACAAAGGAAAGTGCCAATGAACTGATGATCAATATCTGCAGCCATCTATTATGAAGAAATACTTTGAACTATTTGGCATAATTTTCTTTTAAGATTGTCTAATTGAAAAGTGTGATGACACCCACAATTATAGTGTGACTAGGCCATAACGCCTAGTATACATGGGTTCACAGCCCTTCCCACTGTCCCACAGGCTACTCCACACACAAGAAAATCAAAGAGATTTAACTTCTTTGGGAATTCTAGAGCTTCTATTGGCCAATATTAAGTCAATAGTGTTTCCTAAAAAGTTCAGTTTTCAGAATGGCTTTGCCCTACCATGTAGCTCCTTTCTTGTATCTCTCACTGGAGAGGTCCCGTCCCCAGCATTAATAGCAGGATGTTGTACACACAGTTTTGCAAAAGAATATGGTGTTCCAGGGTCATGGTGTTAATAGGAATGGATCCTGTACTAATTTTGAGGATCTTTTTAGAAAGGCCTCATAGATTATGATATCTCCACTCTGCCCTAAGACAAAGAGCTTCTAGTCATACTGAACTGTCTGAAAGGGGCTCATATCAGGCCAGGGGAGATCTCAGGGAACTCTGAGGATTTTGTGTTCAGAATGGACAGTCAGGGTTCCCTCCTGAGGCCCCCTGCAAGGCAGTAATTGGGCCTTCTTTCCCCACCCCATGGCCTCCTCCCTGGTGTTTGACCACTGTGTCATCCTGTTCCCAGCCCACTGCTAAAGCTGCCAGTTACAGGAACACCAACAGCAGGCAACCCTTTCTCTTATTCATACAAATCAGCTCACACAGAGAGATTTCAGAAAAAAGGAATAAAGCAATTCTGGCAAAATATAAAATGTAAGTTTAAAGCTATCAAATAAGTGGTTGAAGTTCAACCTGGAGAGGCTAACTGCCCTCTTGCTGTTACAGATGCGTATCAAGTGTTGAAAGGCAAATTATTACTGTTCTTTTGTGACAATGCAAAGTCTTTAATATCCCAGAGCACATGGACTGCATGGTTATCACACAGTGCCCAGGAGGTTTGGGCTCTTTCTCCCCTCCCCGCCCCCACCATGAAGAAAGGGGAAGGAAGATGCTTACTTTATGAGCGTCTACCATGCCAAGCCATACCTGGGCACTCTGCCCATTAACTCTAGCAGCCACATGGGCCACAGGTACTTCCACTGCCTTCTGGACATTAGAGGGCCTGAACTTGGGAAGAGTCCAGGGTCACATTGCTGGCTTTGCTGGCAGCCCTGGTATTTCAGCCCTGCTCACTGACTCATCTCCTGGTGCTAATGCTGGTCTTACTGTGTCAGGAAAAAAAGGAGTGCTAAGGAGTGCTACAGTAAGCTGCTGTTTGAGTTCACAGATAGTGCAGGAGGGTGCAGACCAAGTAATCACAGGCCACGCTGTCCCCCGCTGCAGCCCCCACGGGGCTATCCCGCACCTTCCATTAAGAACCTGAAGCCTTTTGGGAGCCAGGATCTCACAACTATAAAGGCCCTATTTGTGAGTGTGAATTAAGGGGAGCCCTCAATAAATACTGGAAAAAAAACCCAAAACATGGTTGAGACAGAATAACAACAAACAGAACTTTTTATCTAGAGGAAACAAAGAATTTAGAAAAGACAGAAATAGTTAAAAAAATAAGTTTGTACCCCTCAAGAAATTTAAGGAGCTAATTATTTTTTTTAAGATTTATTTATTTATTTGTACAGAACTGGGTTACAGGCCAGAGATGTGGAAGGTGAGAGTGAGACAATTCACCAGAGACAGAGCGGGGAGCAGAACAGGCAGATCGACAAAGTACACTGCTGAGGGGAGCAGCGGGCGGGTCAGGAGAGGTCTGCCACGCCATGTGGTCGCCTCCGGGGCAGGCGGGAATCGAACTTATGCAGAA